AGCTCTGTAGACCAGGCTGGCCTCAAAATCAGAGATCGGCCTGCCTTTGCCTCCCAAGTGCTGGGATTAAAGACATATGCCACCACTGCCCAGTTCCCAAGGCACATTCTTAAAGCAACACTACAATAGGAATGATTACTACAAAGTCACCTGTCTTGACACCTGCATCTTATATCATGTCTTCCTATCACAGAAAGGCATAGGGTGACTCCAAAATTGGTCCATGATTAAAAAGTCCTAGCATGTGTGATGACCTCCCCAAAGCTTCATGGGTAGATTTCTCAAGGGTATCCATCTTAATAGGCAGCCAGGAGATCAAAGCTGTTATAACTCCTCTGGGGCTCAGTTGTGCTTTGTTGCGAGATGAGACCAAGAGGCTCGTAAAGCCTTTCCCTGGGGATGCTACTTCACGTCAGCAAGGGCTCTTTGGCTTGGCTTCCCAAGTCCCAGGGTACTGGATATGCAGCAAGAGCGCTCTCCCTGTGCTGGGACAATCCCTGAAGCACACAGACCGCAGGCCCTACAGGCATGTCTTGCCTCACAGCATCCCTGGAAATGACCTAATTCAGCTAAGTGAATCCTCCAGGTAGCTGAAGCTTGCCTCCACATTCACAACAGTAAAATGGCTAGGGACCATTTTCCAAACCTGTCTTGTGACAAGGGTACTTTGCAGGAGAGAGGAAAGCCCAGCCTAGAGTGGATTCAGCTACGTTACTATATCGGACACTTACTCTTGTCTGGCATTTTCATGAATCCCTTCCTCAGACCACCTGTGTCCTGCTCCTGGATCTCTCTCTGAGTCACGTGTGTCCACAACTCTCCCCTCTTCAAACTCTGTCATGGCTCCAGCCATGTGCAGAAGAGCCAAGGACTCAGCCTGGCGAGACCCACCAAGGCTCTGCAACTTTTCTTTCTTTCCTTCTTACACCCTCCTGCCAGGTGGCATGGCGTTCCCGGCATGAGTCTCATCTCAAGTCCTGTCATCACCTCTACCAGGAACTTGTGCAGCCTGCTGCCAATCTTTTACTGCCACCCACCTCAGTGCCCACCTTAGCCTCAGGGGAAAAAATCCTCTCCCCTCCCTGGCCTCGTCTGAAGGTTTCTCCCACCCAGGACCCCCGGGATCTAGGGCTGAGGCTTCCCTTTGTGGATGCGGCTCTGACAGGTGTCTGCTAACTGTTTACCTTGTGAGAGCAGCACCCCCGGAAACATATTCTTTATCCCACAAAACTCGCAATGCTCTCCTTGTATGAGCTCCATGGTTAAGGCCTGCCTCACACCTTAGCTGTTGCTGCTGTTTCTTCTTTTCTTCTTTTTCTTCTTCTTCTTCTTCTCTTTCTCTTCCACCTCCTCCTTCTCCTTCTCCTCCTCTTCCTTTTCCTCCTCCTCCCCCTTCTTCTTCTTCTTTGTTGATTTTGTTTTGTTTTGTTTTTCTTGTTTTTTTTTTTCATTTTATTTATTTGGTTTTCAAGACAGGGTTTCTCTGTAGCTTTGGAGTTTGTCCTGGAACTAGCTCTATAGGACCAGGCTGGCCTTGAACTCACAGAAATCTGCCTGCTTCTGTCTCCCAAGTACTGGGGCTAAAGGCAAGCACCACCACCACCCGGCTAGCTTCTTCCTTAATATGGGTTATTGCTTGGTATTTGGATCCTGGCCTCCATCACCCTCAGCAACTGTGGCTCGGATTCATCCCTGGGGTCCCTGAAAATGCCATGGATAGTGCACCATCTGAGTCAGTCTAGAGTCAGCCTTACTCCATCCCCCCACTTCCACTCCTCTACCCCCCACCCCCACACGCCCAGCACCTGTGGGAGAAAACTGCAGCCTGGTTGCATTGGCTGTCTCTACATACCGTTTCTTCTAACTGGGCAGCTTCTCCATAGATGTTTGTCACAAGGACCATATTGCAGTTTCCCCCTGCAGAAAGCAAAACACAGGAAAGTCTACAATCATGTATGCCTTATGACACAGGACCCACTTAGGGTTCTGTTATGGATTCAATGTTTGTATCCCTACAATACTCATAACCTCTGAAATTCCAACTGCAAACACCCAGTCTGATGTATCTGAGGGGCCTTTGAGAGGTAACTACATTTAGATGAAGTGAGGGTTTTCATGTGCAGCCCTATGATGGGGCTGCTGTCTTTGTAAGATTAAAACACACACACCATTCTTTCTACAAGAAGTGGCCAGCTGCAAGCAAGGGATGGAATCTATTGGCACCTTCATCTTGGCCTGGCCAGTCTACATAACTATGAGAAACAGTCTGTCATCTAAGCCTTCCAATCTATGGTGCTGTGTTTTAACAGTCCATGCTGACTTAGAGGCAGAAGAGACAACCCTAGTCTGCCTGAGGCTAGGAGGCAAGAGACAGAGAGGTAGGGATGGAGAGAAACCATAAGATGTACACAGAAGGAACCAGGAGAGAACAACTCAGGAAACTGGAGAAAGCTCTGGAGGGAAGGTACAAGTTAAGGCCTTTCTCATGACATCACAGGAATCATAACCAGAATCCAGGGACTGTGTCATGAGGCCCAACACAAAGCCCTGGACGAGATGAAAAGATGGCTCCCACTGCTGTGTCCAGGAAGAAATAAAGGAGGGAAATTGATGTAGGAGGGTCTTCTGTCTATATGTTATTTTCATTGGTCAAATAAAAAAACTGCCTTGGACTTTTGATAGGACAGCAGCTTAGATAGGCAGAGTAGACCGAACAGAATGCTGGGAGAAAGAAGCAGAGTCAGGCAGACGCCATGGCTCTCCTCTCCGCCATGGCTCTCCTCTCCCAGACAGACGTAGGTTAGACTCATCCCGGTAAGCCATAGTCACGTGGTGACATACAGATTATTAGAAATGCGTTAATTAAGATGTGAGAGTTAGTCAAGAAGAGGCTAGATATAATGGGCCAAGCAGTGTTTAAATGAATACAGTTTCTGAGTAATTATTTTGGGTGTAAACTAGCCAGGGAGCCAGTGGCGGGAAGCAGCCCACCGCCCCTTTTACAACAGGAAATGATGGGAGAGGCCCTTTTCCTGAGTCTCCAAGACCACACAGGTCTCTGCCAAACAGATCAGGGACAAGGGGGAAAGAGCAAATATTCCCAACAGAGGCAAAAGTTTGAGTAGAGATTCTAAGGCATGAGCAGCAAGAGTGCAAGAAGGCTCGCCTGTGTCTGACTGGAGTCATTCCTGAAGAGCGGCAAGTAACTTCAACCAGGGGCAAAGTGATTCTCTGATCCCTAAGGGCAGATAAGGCAGGTCTAGTCTTCCCCAGGCCAAGACCCTCCTTTCTGACCATACCCTTACCTAATGAGTCTTTCAGGGCATGGGTGAGCTTGCACTGCCGGAAAGGAATGTGGTCCCGCTTCTGGTCCCCAAGGGCAATGATGGCCTGCTCCAGGAAGGACAGGGACTTGTTGATGTAGGTGGCTTCCTTTAAGACTCTACCTTCTGACTGCAAACAAAATGTCTGGGTCACTTTAGACAGGGGAGGGAGGCTACCCTATTAAAATCGTCTACCCTTCCTAGTTTATAGTGATACAAAAGTCTACAGTCAGGCTGGGGCCTCCTTCCCATAACCAGGACCTTTTCCTCCAAGTTGGGAGTGTTTTCCATCTTGGGCTACTGATAACTGTAATGGTAAAATTCACAGGGAGCCAGGCAGTAGTGACACACACCTTAATACCAGCACTTGGGAGGCAGAGACAGGAGAATTCCTGTGAGTTTGAGGTCAGCCTGGTCTACAGAGCTAGTTCCAGGACAGCCAGGACTACACAGAGAAACCCTGTCTTAAAAAATCAACCAGCCAACCAAAAAACCAAACAACAAGAAACTCACAGGAACATTCACATGAAAGTTGATGCAAACAAGAATACGTACACTCAAGTTGGGCAGTGGTAGTACGCACATTTAATCTCATCACTGAAGAGGAAGAGGCAGACAGATCTCTGAGTTCGAGGCCAGCCTGGTCTACATAGGGAGTTCCAGGACAGCCAGGGCTACACAGAGAAACCCTGTCTTGAAAAACAAGAAAACAGACCAAAAGAATATATATGTGAATATTCATATGATACTCATTCCAAGGTGCGCCCTGATGCAAATACAAAAGTACATGGAATACCTGAGCAAGTATAATATTTACACAAATATAGTAATGCACACACATGCAAATACTCCTCAAAATACTCTCATGAAATTTTGTATTAAAATACTTTTGCAAAAATATGCTTGAAATTAAACATGCTTGTGAATATTCCTATTCAAACACAGAGAAAAATCATACCAGTGTGGAGCATTTGCTAAGTAATACTGAAAGTAGGGGAGGGATAATTAAAAGGAACCCAAATCGTTCCCATCCAAAGAATGCTCACAGGAACGAAAACTTTGTGGTGTTCCTGCATCTCCCTACCGTGTAAAAACTGTTTCTTTATGTAAAAACCCCGCTGTATTTCCAAAATGTGATGACCCAGAGAGGCTGACACTTTACCCCAATTCCTTTGTGCCACTTTTCAAAACTAGTCAGTCACCAAAGTCTGTGAGGTCAGACCCCAGCCAATGGAGAAATGACACAGCACTCTATGTTAGGATAAAGACCTATCATATTTTTTTGCTGGGTATACTTGTTACTTGAATGAACCTGTGTACCTTTGGTGAAAGTAAAAGCTTACTCGCCAGTTTACTTCCATTTTTGTGTGATGATGGTGAGGTCCCGAACCCGGGTTTATTTCCAACACAGGCACTAGATTAAGGGGAGTCGTGTCATGAACCGTTTAGAAAAGCCCTGTAGAGTACGAACTGTGCCTGGCAGCTGGTACTCTCCCTCCAGTGACCCCCTTACTGTGCTCCACTTCACCTGGTTGTTCCCAAGCATTCAGTGTGGGAGATGCATACACGGGTCCTAGGCCACAGGCCTGGGAGACGCATACGCAGGCTTTATGCCACAAGGTCCATGGCTTGCTGAAAGGGTACCCCACAACCCTCACTTACCCCTGTCTTCCCCAGCCTCTCTGAGCCAGCCAGATCTACCAAGTTGATTTTGGAAGTGATATACTTTTCATCTGATAAGGTCCGAGAGTGGGCCTACAAAAACATCCAAACAGAATTCATTCAGAATGCAGCGGGAGGAGTTTCCGGCTGGGCAGCGTCCAGTCACCCGTCCCAGGAGTCACCGGTCCCAGCAGTCACCCGTCCCAGCAGTCACCCGTCCCAGGAGTCACCCGTCCCAGCAGTCACCCGTCCCAGGAGTCAACCGTCCCAGCAGTCACCCGTCCCAGGAGTCACCAGTCCCAGCAGTCACCGGTCCCAGCAGCCACCAGTCCCAGGAGTCACCCGTCCTCATGCTGAACAAGAAACGTGCACCTACCTCCATGTAGATGGTGAAAATGCAGTGTGACCTGGATGAATTTTTGTTCATTGTGTGGGAAGCGATGATCCTGTTGGTCTCTCCCTGAAGAGGAAATTATATGCAGCGTTTCGAAAACTAAAATATCTGAGTAATTTTCTAACACTCATACCACTATGATCTGGGAAAATGTCTTTTTTTTCTTTTTTTTTTAAATATTTATTTATTTACTTTGTATACAATATTCTGTCTGTGTGTATGCCTGCAGGCCAGAAGAGGGCACCAGACCCTATTATAGATGGTTGTGAACCACCATGTGGTTGCTGGGAATTGAATTCAGGACCTTTGGAAGAGTAGGCAATGCTCTTAATCTCTGAGCCATCTCTCCAGCCCCGGAAAATGTCTTTTGAAAGTGAATAAAAGGGAAACAAATTGAAGTTTGGTCCTATACTTTCACCACCCGATATTTGGGGTGAAGTGCACAAACTGGTGTTTTCTGAAAAGTGAGACATGGTGAGAAGCAAGATGGGGGTTGGAGAGATGGCTCAGTAGTTAAGAGCACACACTTGCTGCTCTTCCAGAGATGGCAGGTTCGATCCCCAGCACCCATATAGCAGGCTGTCTCTAACTACAGTTCCAGACATCCAGTGCCCTCTTCTGACTTCAGTGGGTCTTGCAAGCAAGTGGGATGCCCTTCTGTATGCTGTGAATATGTTTTATTGCCATTGGTTAATAAAGAAACTGCTTTGGCCTATGGCAGGGCAGAACAAGGCTAGGCAGGAAATCCAAACAGATACAGGGAGAAAGAAGGCAGAGTCAGGGAGATGCCAGCAGCTACTGGAGAAGCAAGATGTGAAGTAATAAGCCATGAGCCTCATGGTAAAATATAGACTAATAGAAATGGGTTAATTTAAGATATAAAAGCTAGTTAATAATAAGCCCGAGCTGATAAGCCAAATAGTTTGTCTCAGAGTGGTTATCCAGGAACTGCCAGGTGAGAGACAAACCTCCAGCTGCAGTACACACACATTCATGCAGGCAAAATACTCATAGATAAAAGGAAGCGCCTTGTTCAAGAAGGTGTTGTGCAAGTTGCTGGGGGGTGGGGATCATCAAAGGTCTTACCCAGTGCTGAACCCTGAATGCTACAATACTAACCTGCCAGGCCTCCTGGTTCAATAGAGACATGATGGTTATATGGAGCATGAATAATAAAAGCCCAGAGACAGATATTGCAGTTCAAGCTGAAGACAGAAAAGCAAAACAGCCAAGCCACTAGAGAAGTCTTACCCCTACCAAGACTGGGCAGTTGTAGACTGAGCCTTGAACCTCTGTCTCCTCCCATTTTATACTCCCGTTTAGTGCTGAAATTTTTTTTTCTGAGACAGGGTTTCTCTGTAGCTTTGGGACCTGTCCTTGAACTAACTCTTGTAGACTAGGCTGGTCTCGAACTCACAGAGATCCGCCTTCCTCTGTCTCAAGTGCTGAGATTAAAGGTGTGAGCCACCACCACCTGGATCTGTTTCTGTATTGATCTTGTGTAGCCCAGGATAGCTTTGAACTCATGAAGATACATCTGTCTCTGTTGCCCAAATCCATATGACCCTCAGACCATATGTAAAGTTATTACAGAAATCTTTCAATCTTTGCTCCTGAGAAGTCTTCTGAGTTACCCTGGATAGTGGCTTGGGAGCTGGACTTCCAGACCACTAAACTTGCCTAACGAGTTTGGTCCTCAGCACTGCTAAGAGGGTGAGAGAAAAAGAACACAATTAGTTCATCTATGTAAGGTCAGGCATGATGGTACAGATCTATAACACCAGCTACTCAAGAGGTGAAGGCAGGAGAGTTACAAGTTCAAAGCCTACCTGGGTTGCAGAGTGACATCATAGCCAGCCTTGACATCTTTGGGTTCTTGTTTGTTTTTTAGGGTTGTTTTGTTCTATTTTTTCAATACAGGGTTTATCTGTAGCTTTGGAGCCTGTCCTGGAACTAGCTCTTGTAGACCAGGCTGGCCTCAAACTCACAGAGATCCACCTGCCTCTGCCTCCTGAGTGCTGGGATTAAAGGTATGTGCCCATCACTGCCTAGTGGCATCTTTGTTTTTTGGTTTTTTTTTGAGGGGGGGGTTTAGATGAAGTCTCACTATGTAGCCCAGGCTGGCCTTAAATTCAGCCATCTTCCTGCCTTAGCCTCCCAAGTGCTGGTATTACAGAAATGTACCATTACAATTGGCTCAGCTTGAGCAATTTAAGAATCTGTCTTAAAAATAAAGGAGTACATAGGAGAAGCTGGAGAGATGGCTCAGCAGTTAAGAGTGAGCACTATTCTTGTAGGAGGGCCCAAATTCAGTTCCTAGCATTCATATGAGGAAGCTCATAACCACCTGTAAGTCAGCTTCAGAGAACCCGATGTACTCGCCTGGTCTTTGCACACACACACACACACACACACACACACACACAAGCATACATATAATTAAAAATTAAAATGTTTTCAAAGGTAAAAGGGAGTTATAAGTATAGTTCAGTAACAGGACTTTTCTAGCATGTATAAAACCCTTAGCTCAGCCTTCAGCACCACAAACAAACAACCTCACAGAAAGAAAGAACCAGAAGGACATAATCTAAAATATATGTTTTCGTTGCTTTAAATGAAAAACATTTTATGAGTTTTGGTTCTTCTTACTCAACACTAAGCTTTCTAAATAAACGCATATGAATTTTCATACTGATTATCAAAGTAAATAAAAATAAGAAGGAAGTAGGGAAGGGGGAAGGGAGAGGGGGGAGCAAGGGAGGGAAGGTTCTCTGATTACTTCACCTCAAAGAGAAGGCTGAATGCATCCTCCTCTTGACTTGTGAGATGGACCGACAAGCCCTTAATGAAGACCCCTTGAGGGTTTTCCACGATGGTCATTGGTGTGACTGAGGGTCCAACGTAGGGTAGTGTCGACAGGAGGTCAAACAGGTTCTCGTTATAGATTTCCAGGTAGGAAACACGCACAGTGATAGCATGTGTGGGGCGCTCTTCAATCATCTTAAAAACCTAGATGGAAATTTGACCACAGTCACTAAGAGTACAACTCCAACAGCCAGCTAGTTAATGCCAGCCCACATCTTCCCTAGGAGAGAGCATCAGGAGTGCAGCACCACTCTTGTTTGGAAGAGGTTCACAGTCTGGCTGATGTAATGATGACGGTCGTCATCAACACCCAGTGTTGTCAGCCTACTGTACAAGACTATCGACTTCCGGTTTTATTGTGTTGGTTGTGTTTTGAGGCAGGCTTCCACACTGTGTCCCAGGCCGACTGGAATTCAAAATGTAGCCCAGTTAATTATCCAACTCACCAGCTCCCTGCTTCAGTATTCCCAAGTACTGGAATTACAAGTATGAGCCATCGTGCCCAGCTAGAGATGTTGAAGTGTGCTGTTTGTTTTGAGACAGGGTCTCAAGGAACCCAAATTGCTCAGGAATTCTCAGTGTAACCAAAGATGACCTCGGACTTCTGATCCTCTTGCCTCCATTTCCTGATTACAAACACATGCCACTGTGCCTTTTTGGTCCTTCAGTGCTGGGGCTCAAATCCAGGGCTTTGTGTATGTTAGGCAAGCTCTTTACCAAGTGAGCTACACGTACATCAGCCTTTAGATATCGAAACTTTGACAATGGGATAGTAAGAATACTACTTCAGAAAAATGAGCATGTGGGGTTTATAAGAAAGGCTCCCCTACCCCAGAGACAGGGTTTCTCTGTGTAGCCCTGGCTATTCTAGAACTTACTCTGTAGATCAGTCTGGCCTTGAACTCAGAGATCCAACTGCTTCTGCCTCCTCCCGAGTGCTGGGATTAAAGGCATGGACAACCATGCCAGCCCAGCGGGATGAAGGCTTTTGCATCCTCACAACACCTGGGCTAGCAGGTCCCAAGGGAAGGCCCTTCTGCCCAGGCTTCTGCTTTAATCCCAGAACCATGGCTGCCACAGTCCTAAAGGCTGGCATGCCCTGCTCCTTGTCCTTCTTCTTTCAGGAGCTACTGAATGGAAGAAGCCACAGCAAGATGATACATATGCTCGAAAAGAGCTGCTCCCCTGCATTAAAGCCAGCAACAAGCATGATTAGGCCCTCCTAAGCCTCAATTACAGGGTCACAGACATGGGAGCAGCGGGAGCCTGATTAGCATGGCTGCTCTCTCCTTCACAAATAAGGAAGCATGCTTAATAAGTCAGTGAGAGTCTGTCTGAAAATCAAAGCCCTGGTTTTCTCGGGACTCCGACTCTACCCCAGGCCCAATGTCCAGAACCAGTACTAGTTATAGTTCACTTGAAGGCTGAGCCCACTGTCACTAGTAGCCAACCTGGAGAGAAGAGGGTAGCTGTGTGGCATCCCAACCAGGGGCCCATTCTCTACCTGTTGCAGGGCACGAGGGAGAATACCCCGGTGCTTGTAATTCTCAGTTGCCCCCGTCATGGTGTATGTCTTGCCGGCTCCTGTCTGCCCATAACACATGATGGTACCTGCAAACATTTCAAGATATGTCTGAGTGACATTCAGAAAAAGTCACTTCATGGACAATTCTTGTACCTCAACATTCTTGGCGTCATCCGGGACACTTGATGAAGTGAAGGTAGCTAGCAGAAACATCCAAAGACATCAGTACTGGAAGAGGACAAGTACACAGAGAATAGGGACATAAACAGTCAGAACATGAACATGTGCCCTCAACCTTGGTCT